TCTTTCTCTCTCCCTAACCCTCCCTCTAAAAATAAATAAATAAAAATCTTTAAAAAATTAAATAAAGAATGTAAATAAGAAATGGATTTTACATTGTATTGTTCCCCCCAAAACTTCTATCTTGTTTACAATCTCTTTTTATTAAATTAAGATTCTCTATTTGTTTTAAGATTGACTTCTGCTACAGATTTCTCCCAATGGGCCAAAATTATAGAGTGACACTAACAAATGTGCATAGGCAAAATACCATTTACATTAATATGATACAACCTTCCTTTACAATAGAAACTTCATACACCCACCCAAAAAGCTCCAGGAAAGCCAGCCCTCCTGTATACTTCATTGGACTGCTGTTCTGTTACATGTGAAAGTCTTTTGAATAAATGAGTTGTTTTATATCTTTTCCCATCCAATATGGTATTACCATAAAATTCCGATCATGAGATTTCAGTTCATGTTCAATTTCAAACTGTGCATTACGTATCTCAGTTTTTGTTTGATTCCAAATTTGAATTATTCACCTATTTGGTTTTCCTTCTTAAAAAAAAAAAACATTAAGGGTGGGATGGGAAAAAGTTAAATTCAATCTGGTTAATTTAGTTGACTATTAATAATGCTATTATATATTAAAGTATGACAAATTACTGGCCAAAAAAAGTCATACTCAGGGAGCTACTAAGTTCCCTGAGAACCTTTTACCTTCTTTCATTCTGTGAACATCTTCTCTTTATATTTTGTGTCTTTTATGCTACATGAAGACACTATATTTAGTACCTATTCCTCTCAGTCTCATTGTTTACAGATGGGCATCTATAAACACCGTATCACTCTGGGTCCCTGGAGTGAAGGAGACACTTCAAATCTACCTTCTCCCATATACAAAACATGCACACAATGGAAAAAATAGCTAACAGCATAATTTTTAAAAATCACTTTCCCCTTCATCTATAAATACCTCAGAAAATTAAAATCCTCTGGGAACCTAAAATTGGTCAAGGAAACAGATGTTTGAATCCTCTAAGTATAGCACAGGGAACAAAGTTTGGCACCAACAATTGCAATTAGAGTGTATTTCAGAAAAACTGACTGTATCTTTGAAATATTTGAAGATAAAATATTTTTACTACTCCATCTTAGTAAGAATATTTAAGATTTTAGTTTTTTTTTTAAATACAACATTACCCTTTCCCAGGATGCTTTTATGAACTGGGAAAAATTATGCACCTAAGAATTATGGGAATTATATTCTGGTACATAATTATATAATTATGCTTCTTTTGGGTAGTTATTGCATCTTGCTTTCTGTTACAGGTATTTGTGTGCATATTGGATGCCTAATTATATTTTACATGACTTACAAACAAAATAACATAGCCTACTTCATTATTATATTATCCATTATGCCTCATGTTGTACTTTGGACACAGTAAGTTGTCAATAAACACAGTTGCATTAAAAAAATACCTAGGAATAAAAAAAAATAAAAAATAAATATAATTATGATAATAATCTGAAATGTCAATGGAATTATAAGATAGGGATAGTGATGAATGATTTTAGTAAAAATTAAACTAATTTGATGGTGAAAAAAAAAATACCTAGGAATAAATTTAACCAAGGCTGTAAAAGACCTGTACTCAAAAAAATTATGAGACTGAAGAAAGAAACTGCAGAAGGTACAAATAAGTAGAAGCAAACACCATGATCATGGAATGGAAGAATTATCCTCACTAAAATGTCCATACTACCAAGGCAATCTATAGATTCAATGGAATTCCTATCAAGATACCAATGGTATAAAACTAGAACAAGTATTCCAAAAATTTATATGGAACCACAAAAGACACCACGTAACCACAGCAATCTTGAGAAAAGAACAAAGTTGGAGGAATCACACTACCAGATATCAAACTATATTATAAGACCATAGTAATCAAACAGAATGATACTGGTATAAAAATAGACATAGAGATCAATGGAACAGAATGGAAAACCCAGAAATAACCTCATGCTATGGTCAATTAACACTTGACAGAGGAGGTAAGAACAAAGGATGGGGGACCCAAAAATACCTGGAATTATCTTCTGGAGGGCAGGCCCCTTTTAGTACAGGCTTCTTCAGCTAGGTGAGTGTTCTAGGAACCCATCTACATCAGTGTACCAGCTGGCATTGCTGTGAGAGGCTGCGTTTGGCTTTGGTGAATTTTTTTGAAGACTGTCGACACACTTGCCCATTTCATGATGAGTGATTTACAAGTGCACCTGCCTATACCTTGCTGAGTGTTGAGCAGTTTTGAGTAAAAACAGCATGATTCCCATGCCCCACCCTTCCTATTCACCAGATCAGACCCAAGCTACTCTTTTTTTGTTTTCCCAGATGAAAAAAGCCCTGAAAGGAAAACATTTTGCCGATGTGGAAGAGGTGAAACAAAAAACAGCAGAAGCACTAAAAGGCATCAAAACTGACAAGTTCACAAGCTGTTTTGGTCAGTGGGAAAAAAGTCTCTACCATTATGCAATACACCTGTACTTCAGTACTTTGAAGGTGACTGAAGTTTAAGCATGTAAAATAAACAAGCAATTTTTAAATAAATAACTTCCAGTATTGGGGGTAAAGATAAAGTCTATTCAATAAATAGTGTTGGAAATATTGGACAGATACATGCAAAAAAAATAAAATTAGACCACCTTCTTATTATACTATACACAAGAATATACTCAAAATGAATTAAAAGTTTAAATGCTAGACTTGAAACCATAAAAATCCTAGAAGAAAACATAGGCAGTAAAATATTGGACATTTCTCATTGCAATATTTTTTCCTGATATACCTCCTTAGGCAAGGGAAACAAAAGAAAACAAACAAATGGTCTATGTCAAACTAAGATGTTTTTGCACAGCGAAAAAAAATCAACAAAATGAAAAGAGAACCTACTGAATGGGAAAACATATTCACTAATGACACATCTCATCAGATGTTAATATCCAAAATGTATAAAGAACTTATATAACTCAACACCAAAAAACCAAACAATCAAATTTAAAAAATGGGCAGAGGACTGGTGCAGCTCAGTTGCTTGGGTGACATCCCACAAAGCAAAAGGCCCCCACTTCAGTTTCCAGCCAGGGCAGATGCCTGGGTTGCAGCCGGGTCCCTGGTTGGGGGCATGCGACAGGCAACTAATCGATGCTTCTCTCACACATATATGTTTCTTGCCCTGTCTCCCTCCCTCCCCTCTCTCTAAAAATAAATACATGAAATTTTTTTAAATGAGCAAAGGATCTGAATAGACACTTCTCCACAGAGGACACAGAGATGGCCAACAGACAAAAGAAAAGATGCTCAGTGTCACTAATCATCAGAGAAATGCAAATTAAAACTACAATGAAATATCACCTCACACCTGTAAAAATGAGTGTTATAAACCAACAAACGACAATAGTTGGCAAGGATGTGGAGAAAAGGGAACCCTACTGCACTGTTGATGGGAGTGCAGATGGGTGCAGCCACTGTAGAAAGCCATATGAAGTTACCTCAAAAATTAAAAATGGAACCGCCTCATGACCCACTGATTCCACTTCTGGGAATATATCCAAAGAAACCCATAACACTAATCCAAAAGAATATAAGTACCCCAGTGTTCACTGCAGCGTTATTTACAATAGTCAAGATTTGGAAGCAGCCCAAGTGTCCATCAGTAGATGAGCAGATTAAAAAAACTGTGGTACATTTACTCAGCTGTAAAAAAGAAAAAAATCTTACCTTTTGCAAAAGCATGGATAGATCTAGAGAATAATACACTAAGTGAAATAAGCCAGTCAGAGACAGACAAATACCATATAATTTCACTTATATGTGGAACCTAATGAACAAAATAAACAAAATAAAAACAGATTCATAGATAAAATGAACAAACAGCTATCAGAAGAAAGGAGATTGGGGGTACTGGGCGAAAAATGTGAAGGGATTAAGAAAAAAAACTCATAGCCCTGACCAGTGTGGCTAGATGGACTGAGGGCCAGCCCGAACACCAAAAGATTGATAGTTCGATTCCCAGTCAGGGCATATGCCTGGGTTGCAGGCCCAGTCCCCAATTGGGGGTATGTGAGAGGCAACCAATCCATGTTTCTTTCCCTCCTTTTCTCCCTCCTTTCCCCTCTCTCTAAAAAAACCCAACCACTCAAAAACAAAAAATCGTGGTTGGGGGGAATAGAAGTGGGTAAAGGGGGAATAAATGATGATGAAAGGGGACTTGACTTAGAGTAGTGAACACATAATATTATATACAGAGGATTTATTATAGAATTGTACATCTGAAACCTATAAAACTTTATTAACCAATGTCACCCCAATAAATTCAATTAAAAAATCAAGTAAAATATAGAACTGTTGAATAATCATGTATAAACACTTAAATTAACAGTGAAAAGGTAGGCTATTTTATTCTTAATCATACTGTAATGAAGACTATTTTCAAATCTGCAGTGATGATACACACAAATATTTAAACTATTTATGTGCCTCAACTTGACATAATTTCATGATAATTTGATGGCAATTACATTTAAATAATATTAGAATATTTTTGTAGTAATGTTACTTTAGAACAACAACTTTAATAGTTAGGAAAGCATGTTTATGTCCATTAACCTGAAGGAAACAGGAATATTAACCATTTTTTCAGAAATCAATGTATAAATTTAAATATTCCACTATAATATTTATGAACAGGCTTCAAATTAAAATTTATAAAATGTAAACTATAAAATGTTTCAGTTAGACAACAATTTAGTCTGTATTTTGTAGTTGTTCCTGTGTACACATTAATGAACACTATATAGAAAAGATTATTTTCTCCTTTAGTGTGTTTGACTACTACCCAAAACATCTTGCTTGAGTTAAAAATTTTGCTTGAATGCCATACCATAGCAATCTTATAAAATCCCTCAATTATCAATCAATATGACATTAGTCAGTGAACACAAGTGTTTTGCCTCACCTTCAGGACAGCTATGAATGGTACAAAGTTAGCTCTTTGGAGTCCATTTTTATAGAGATCTGAAAGGAAAAAATTAGTATTAGCTTTTTACTTAGTCTAAATCATAATGTTGGCTTATATTTTAGCCTGACAAATAAAGCTTTGTACTGATAAAAAAGATAAAGGAGCATAAAAGGAGAAAAATAACTAAAACTGATTTCTATTCTGGTACTACAGAAAATTCATTATATTCTTAATAAGAAAAATCATTAACAATCACAGAAAAATCAAAGGTCGTTCAACCAAATTAGCTTTAAATGATAATTAAAAACAATAAAAGAATCTGAAATATATCACAAGTGATCATAAGTAATAACCCATCACAATTATCTATTTTAAAGTATTTAATATTTGAATATGTAAAATTTTACTGGAAAAGGAATCATATTCTCTTTTTCTCAACATGCAGTAAAACTTCTCAGTATACAATTAAAAGTGTGTAATAAGATTAGCCCTTTTATAATAGACTTTTAAGAAAACCCATCAATAGACAAAACTATGTGTATATTTGCATCAAAATTATCTATTTCACAATAGGGTGAAAGACATTAAGATCAATTTGCTTTAAAAAAAATATCTAAAAGTCAAAACTCCATTCTTGAAGGCTGTAGGTTTAATGCAATTACATATCATAAATAGGTAGTATTTATTGCCTTACAGTGATGTTTTACATATACGTATATGTCACAGTGCATGGTCATACACATACAAACACAAACATATACACATGTATTGCCAAGAGAAAACAAGTGGAAAGAAGCAACAAATTTTAAGTTTTGCATATTTTTTCTTTTAAAATGGAAATGGAATACTGTTTCAAGAGGTTGAAATTTTATTATATACAAAACATTCCATTTGAAGGTTAACTCTATAAAGTAATGAGATTTTTAAAATAAAAGTATTTATAAAAATGGGAACTGTAAAAAGTTTTCTCAATAATAAAAAACACAAATTTGCTTATGTGTCTCATATTTTTCTTAAAGTATTGTATTATGGGATGCTTTCTGCATTCCTTTGTTTAGAGAAAATTTGATAACTAAGAAACCCTTCAACTGCCACATTTACTTATGGAAATAAAATATGGTCATTAGGAAACATTTATTCTCTTTAGAAAAAATATTCATCATAACATCATTATAGTGAAGAAAGTATTTGCATAAGCTCTGGTTAATTAAGGACTAGAGGCTTTAAAGCAGTTACATTTAAAATTTTTACTTAGGGAGATTATAAAAGGTAATAATGCTGACCAGGCTGTAAGGATTCAAATTCAAAATGAGATCTCTTCTTTCTTAAAAGCAATAACTTGAATAAGTAAAATAAGTTTAAAGTTATATGTTTTCATAGTCTTCCATAGTTACCAAGTTGCTGGGAAAGAAAAGCACTGCTATGTAACAAGAGTTGATAGCCATGATTGCCAGTAAAGGGTAAAAATTGAAAATAAAATAATTTTAAAATCACAATGTTTATAGCAACTTTATTCATAATAGCTAAAAATTGCAATTTTGTTTGTTAGACAAAAACTGGAGGCAATTCAAAAGTCCATCATTAGGTAGATAGATAAACAAACTGTGAAATATCTGTAAAATGACATACAACTCAGCAATAAAAAAATAAACTTTTCATACACACACACAAAGATGAATCTCAAAATAATTATGCAGAGTAAAAGATGCCAGGCCAAGAAAACATGAGAACATAATGTGTTATTCCATTTATATAAAACTCTAGGAAAAAAGCCAACTAACCTAGAGTAACAAAAAGCAAATCAGTGGCTACCTGGAAAAGAGGGCTGTGGGCCATGGATGGCAGGAAGAGATAAAGAAAGAGATGAGAAAAGTTTGGGGTGTGATGGAAATGTTCATTATATATATTTTTAATTTTATTTATTTTCGGAAAGAGAGGAAAGGAGGGAGGTACGGAGGGAAACATCAATGTGGGAGAGAAACATCAATCAGCTGCCTCTCACATGCCCCCATCTGAAGACCTGGCCTGCAACCCAGGCATGTGCTCTGACTGGGAATTGAACCTTTGAACTTCAAGTTCACAGGCTGGCATTCAATCCACTGAGCCACAGCAGCTAGGGCTGCAACGTTCACTATATTGATTGTGGTAGGTAATGACTTCACAGGTATACACATATGTCAATATTTTCAAAATTGCATCCTCTAAATATGTGCATTTATTGTATGTCAATTATGACTTAATACGTTTTTTGAAAATTTACTGCGAAAAATATACATGACATTAATGGACATCAAAGAACACAATATTATAGAATTAAAACTAAGATATTACACTAATGAAAGTTTATCTATGTTAAAGGTAACCTTTATTCTTACTCATGGAATTTTCTTATGGATATATATGTCTCTGAAATGTAATGTAACAAGCATGCAACTTTTAGTTGGCTAATGGCAGAGACAGATGTAAAGGCCCACTGGTAATATTTGTTTAAATCCTCACCTGAGGACATGCTTATTGATTTTAGAGAGGGGGAAGAGAGAAAAAGGGAGAGAGAAATCTCGATGTGAGATGAGAAAGAAACATCAATAGGTTGCCTCTGGTATGTGCCCTAACTAGGGACAGAACCTGGAACCTAGGCATATGCCCTGACCAGGAATCAAGCCTGTGACCTTTCAGTCTGTGGGATGATGCCCAACCAAACTTCACTGGCCAGGGCCCACTCGCAATATTCTTATTTAAAAGATTTCCACTCATCAGTAAAGTTAAATAAGAATAAAAATGCCCTTCTTTCTCTCTGCTGCGTAGAGTTCCATTGTGTAAATGCACCATAGTTTTTGATCCACTCATTTGCTGATGGGCACCTAGGTTGCTTGCTTCCAGCACTTGGCTATTGTAAATTGTGCTGCTATGAACATTGGGGTGCATAGGTTCTTTTGGATTGGTGTTTCAGGGTTCTTAGGATATAATCCTAGCAGTGGAATTCCCGGGTTAAAAGGCAGTTCCATTTTTAGTTTTCTTAGAAAATTCCATACTGTTTTCCATAGTGGTTGTACAGTCTGCAATTCCACCAACAGTGCACTAGGGTTCCCTTTTCTCCACATCCTCTCCAACACTTGTTTGTTGATTTGTTTATGTTGGCCATGCTGATCGGTGTGAGGTAGTAATTCATTGAGGTTTTAATTTGCATCTCTCTGATGGCTAGTGATACTGAGCATCTTTTCATATGTCTCTGGGCCCTCTGTATGTCCTCCTTGGAGAAGTGTCTGTTCAAGTCTTTTGCCCATTTTTAATAGGGTTTTTTTGTCTTCCTGGAGTGGAATTGTGTGGGTTCTTTATACATTTTAGAGATCAAACCCTTGTCCGAGGTATTATTGGCAAATATGTTTTCCCAAATAGTTGGTTCTCTTTTCACTTTAATGGGACAGCAAGGATGGAACTGGAGAGCATTATATTATGCTAAGTGAAATAAGCCAAGCAGTGAGGGACAAATACCATATGGTCTCACCTTTAATTGGAACATAATCAACAAAAGAAAAAAGCAAACAAAATATAACCAGAGACATTGAAATTAAGAACAATCTAACAATAGCCAGGGAGGAAGGAGGAGGGGACAGTGGGGCAGAGGATTTTTAGGAACTACTATAAAGAACACATAGACAAAACCAAGGGGGAGGGTGGAAGCAAGGAAGGGAGGTGAGTTTGGCTGGGGTTGGCGGGGGAGTGGTGGGGAGAAAATGCAGACAACTGTAATTGAACAACAATAAAGTAATTTTTTAAAAAAGTAACAATGCCTTTAAGTCTCTAAGATTTAGTTTTTAAAGAGTTAACTTTTTAAAAAAAATCAGCCTTTACAAAGATATATAATTCAACCTTTAAGCTCAGAGAAGTATTTTCTAAACAAAATTCTAAACAGAATTCATCTTAAAAACCTTTAGGATTTTATAGGACACTTAAGTGAAAAGAACTGTACTCATTAAATTGAAGAGTTTTTTGCAATTCAAATAATATGGTAATTATCGATGCAATAGATCCATTTCCTGGAATGTTATTTAGCTAACAAAATTCTTTATATTTGTTGTTTAATATTATTTTTCTTAGAAATAAAGATTCTATGTTTATATGAACATTTGTCATTATTTACTGTATGCTATTTTAAAATTCAATATAAGTTCTTGACCACATTTTTTTAATACTTTCTGAACAGAGCTGAAGGAGCACCTGGTATAAGATAAAAAAGTGAAATTATGGAACATTCAGTTTTGCGCTGGGTATAAGGACCTCTACATTCTCCACAGTGAATGACTATAATAATACTTACAGATGAAATACGTGCAAAGAGGATTTTTTGTTTAATCTTTATTGTATTTTTTCCATTACCATTTAGTCCCCTGATGCTCCCCCTCCCCCAGCAGTCACTGCATTGTTGTCCATGAGTCCTTGTTCCCTTTTTGCTTAATCACAAAGAGGATTTTTAAAGTAATTACAAGGGTCTATAGAAATACTTTAGAAATGCATATGGATATGTAGACATTTTCCTTAAAAATCCAAGTATCAAAACCATCAGAGTAAACTAAATGCTTATTTCTATAAATACTTATCAATTTAGAGTAAGGAAAACATTTCAGACAGGCAAGGAAAAGGAGTTTCCCTATAAATGAATACAAAATAATTATACACCTCCATGAACCAATTTATCTTCCCAGAGATTGTTCTTTTATAGAAGATATAGACATACAGATGGTCAATAAACATACAAAAAGATGCTCAATGTCACTAATCATCAGAGAAATGTAAACTGAAACCACAATGAAATATCATCTCACACCTGTCAGAATGGCTGTCATCAATAAATCAACAAACTACAAGTGCTGGTGAGGATGTAGAAAAAGAAAAACCCTTTTGCATTGTTGGTAGGAATGTAGACTGGTGCAACCACTGTTGGAAAGCAGTATGGAGATACTTCAAAAAATTAAAAATGGATCCGTCTTTTGACCCAGCTATCCCACTTCTGGGAATATATCCAAAGGAACCCCAAACACTAATTCAAAATGAATAT